ACAATCCCTGACCTCAGGGAGCTGACATTGGAAAGAGGAAGGGACAGACACAGACGTGCAATTTCAGCTTAGAGGACACACTCAGGGTCATGGGACAGAACGACGAGGAGGGGAGGGCAGAGAGCTCAGCTGCAGTGGTCAGGGAAGGCCTCTGTGAGGAGGCAACATGCAAGGTTCTCAGTTTGAAAGAGAAAAACAATCTGGCTGTGTAAAGAACTAGGGCAGAAACATTCTGGGAAGATGTAACAAGAACAAAGGTCCTAAGACCAGAAACACACGTGGCACATCTAAGGGGCAGGAAAGAAGCCAGTGTGACAGGAGCAGAGGAAGACAGAGGTTGGAAGGGAAGGCAGGGCCAAATGGCAGACAGCCTTCCCAGCCTGGCCAAGGGAGAGCAGGATTTTAGCACAGTATGAAGCCAGCAGAGGGCTTTAAGCAGTGGGGCTAACATCATCTGAATTTGGTTTAAAAAAATATCACTCTGACTGCTGGGTGGAACATATAGATTTGTAAAACTATATCTAAATATGTAGGGGGGTGCACTTCAAAAGGTTTGGAAGCATACACACCAAATTCTTAACTAGAGCAGAAACAGTGGGCCAAGGCGGGTGTATGCAGGGAGATAGGGCAACTGACAACTTTCACACATGCTCACACTATTTGAGTCTTTTATAAGAATATATTCGGCCGGGTGCGGTGGCTCATGCCTGTAAGCCCAGCACTTTGGGAGGCCAAGGCGGGTGGATCACCTGAGGTCAGGAGTTCGAGACCAGCCTGGCCAATGTGGTTAAATCCCGTCTCTAATAAAAATGCAAAAATTAGCTGGGTACAGTGGCAGGTGTGTGTAATTTCAGCTACTTGGGAGGCTGAGGTAGGAGAATTGCTTGAACCCAGGAGATGGAGGTTGCAGTGAGCCAAAATTGCGCCACTGCACTTCAGCCTAGGTGACAAGAGTGAGACTCCATGCCAAAAAAAAAAAAGAAAGATAAAGAATATATTCATGGCCGGGCACAGTGGCTCACGCCTGTAATCCCAGCACTTGGGGCCGAGGTGAGCAGATCACTTGAGGTCAGGAGTTTGAAACCAGCCTGGACAACATGGTGAAACCCCGTCTCCACTAAAAATACAAAAAAATTAGCCGGGCGTGGTGATGGGCACCTGTAATCCCAGCTACTCCAGAGGTTGAGGCAGGAGAATCGCTTGAACCTGGGAGGCGGAGGTAGAGCTTGCAGTGAGCCGAGATCGCGCCACTACACTCCAGCCTGGGCGACAGAGCAAGACTCCGTCTCAAAAAAAAAAAGAATATATTCATGTATTCCTGAACAATAAAAAGAATGGTCACCCTGAAGATATTCCAAACCAAGCTCCTCAGAACCTGAGGCTCTGCCCAGGGAAACCCTGTCTCACACACAGAGCTGCCGGAACAGGGCAGGACGTGCGACAGAGGCCGCCTCAGGAGAGTCCCCTGGGTGTCTGCTCAACTGTTCCCCTCCTACCTGGAGTCCCCTTGCCCTTCACTACCTGGCAGGTTCCTTTTCATTCCTCAAGATGGCAGCACAATGGTGCTGCCTCCCAGGGAGAAGCAGTTCCTGCCTGCCTGCCTGCACCCCAACGCCACGATTACTTTGAGAGCTATGTTCCAATGCCTGTTTACCAGGGAACTCTTTGAAGGTAAGAACTCTCTTATTTGCGTGTCTGCAGCCCCTGGGATGAGGCCGAGCATGTAGCAGGTGCTGGATAAACAGTCATGAGGGTGACTGATCAGCCTTGGTCTCTACTGCTGGGCCCACATCTCTTGTACTCAGAGTGCCCACTTCAGCACCAGATACACAGTTATCCACTCAGTTACTGACGAGTCCCTTCGCTTTGTCTCGATACTGGGCACAAACTGACCATAGGAATCTTCTAGCAAGTTAAGAGCCAAATGGAGATGAAGGACCACTGGGTATGGTCTAGATTTGCATTTCCAAACTGGAATTTCTGCAAAGGTATTAATCGAGAAGCTATGAAAAAATGATCCAGGCTAGAATACCTTTTTTTTTTTTTTTTTGAGACAGGGTTTTGCTCTTGTTGCCCAGGCTGGAGTGCAATGGCGCAATCTCGGCTCACTGCAACCTCTGCCTCCAGGGGTTCAAGTGATTCTCCTGCCTCAGCCTCCCAAGTAGCTGGGATTACAGGCATGCGCCACCATGCCCGGCTAATTTGTTTGTATTTTTAGTAGAGACGGGGTTTCTCCATGTTAGTCAGGCTGGCCTCGAACTCCTGACCTCAGGTAATCTGCCCAGCTTGGCCTCCCAAAGTGCTGCGATTACACGTGTGAGCCACTGTGCCTAGTCGTTAGAATACTTTTGAAGAAAGCTGCATCCCTTACTACCCCAATGGAATGTAACAAAGCACACAAGCAGTTAAAAGGTCTGAAAAGTTCTATGGTGAAGAAGCCAATCTAATCCATTGTTTCCCATACTGTGGTGAATTAAGGATGCTTTTCTTGTGATATGCCTATTAAATGTAACAGAACAGCAACAGCAGCAGCTAGCATTTGCTGAGCACCTGCTATGTGCCAGGCACTATACTGAGGACTTTCTCATTATCTCCATTTTACTGAAACCCAGAAAGTTTAATAACTTGCCTGCCATCTGGGAATGAGATTCTGGGGAAGTGAGGATGTGAACCTGGGCAGCCAATGTCCAGAACCCCGCTCCAAACCACCGTGCCCTGCAGCTCCCCAGGATACAGCCATGTGGCTGCAGGTCAGCACGTGCTGATCCAGGCCGTAAGCAGGGTTTTGAAAGCTTACGTGTAAATGCTGTACACATATTCTTTGCCTCTCAGACTCTTGCTACAGGAACACTATACATCAAGTTCATACCATAAGCCAGAACAAAATTCACTACTCTGCAGGACTTGGACTCACATCCAAAGATAAATTACTACCAAATAAGGTCTACGATTCAACTCAAACTCTGTATTTTATGTTTCTCTGACACCTACTTATCATATTAGAACTTTGAAAGTTGACAATTTTTTGAGGCATTTATATGACATAATGAAGGCCAAACCATACCTTGCGTTTGATTTGTCATTCAGGTTGCTAAATTCAAGCAAAAATGTGGCTGATAAAAGTTATCCAAGTCTAGAAATAAATCCTTGTATTGATGGTCAATTAATTCTCAGCAAGAGTGTTAATACAATACAGTGGGGAAAAAATGGTCTTTTTAATAAATGGAACTGGGACAACAGGATATCTACATGCAAAAGAATGAAGTTTGATCCCCTACCTCATACCATATACAAAAATTAACTCAAAATGGATCATAGGCTTAAATGGAAGAGCTAAAACTAAAACTCTTAAAGAAAACACAGGGGCAAATCTTTGTGACCTTGGGTCGGCAACGGCTTCTTCATATGACACAAAAATACAAGTGACAAAAGAAAAATACAGATAAATTGGACTACGCCAAAAGTAAAAACTTCTCTGTGTGTGTGTGTGTTTTTTTCTTTTGAGATGGAGTCTTACTCTGTCGCCCAGGCTGGAGTGCAATGGTGCAATCTCGGCTCACTGCAACCTCCGCCTCCCAGGTTCAAGAGATTCTCCTGCCTCAGCCTCCCGAGTAGTATGGATTACAGGCGCCCGCCCCCACGCCCAGCTAATTTTTGTATTTTTAGTAGAGATGGGGTTTCACCATGTTGGCCGGGCTGGTCTCAAACTCCTGACCTCATGATCCGCCTGCCTCGGCCTCCCAAAGGGCTGGAATTATAGGCGTGAGCCACTGCACCTGGCCTGTATGTCATTATTATATGTCAATAAGGCTGTTTTAAAAAAGCTCTCAGGGAAGCACATCCTCTGTAATTGTCAACAGGTCACTGAGTGGGGGCTTCAGTCCATAGAACTACTCATTTCACCAGAACAAAACAGAAATATCTCAAGCAATACCACTTCTCTTTCCTTAAACGCTTTTTCTAAATGAGGTTTCCCACTGAACCTCTTTTCCTTCAGCTCTTTGGACAATCTGTGATTGTCTTCATTTTGTGATTCTTTTTTTGAGATGGAGTTTCACTCGTTGCCCAGGCACGATCTCGGCTCACCGCAACCTCCATCTCCTGGGTTCAAGCGATTCTCCTGCTTCAGCCTCCTAAATAGCTGGGATTACAGGCGCCCGCCACCACACCCAGCTAATTGTTTGTATTTTTAGTAGAGACAGGGTTTCTTTTTTTTTTTTTTGGAGATGGAATCTCGCTATGTTGCCCCGGCTGGAGGGTAGTGGTGCGATCTTGGCTCACTGTGCAACCTCTTCCTCCCTAGTTCAAACAATTATCCTGCCAGGTAGCTGGGACTACAGGTGCATGCTGCCACACCTGGCTAAGTTTTTGTATTTTAGTAGAGATGGGGTTTCACCTTGTTGCCCAGACTGGTCTTGAACTCCTGAGCTCAGGCAATCCACCCACCTTGGCCTCCCAAAGTGCTAGGATTACAGGCGTGAGCCACCGCGCCTGACTGAGACAGGGTTTCATCATGTTGGCCAGGCTGGTCTTGAACTCCTGACCTTAGGTGACCCACCCACCTTGGCCTCCCAAAGTGCTGGGATTACAGGCGTGAGCCACCAAGACCAGCCACTTTGTAATTCTTTAATGTCTGCTCTGTCTGAACTGGAAGCTCCATGAGGGCAAGGACTATACTTTGCTCGTTGCTGAATCACTGGGGCCTGCACTATCTAGCAGAGTCAGTACTGAGATATTTGCTGAATAAATCAGCTTTGACCACCCAGGGAACCAGATCAAATTAAACTGGGTATTTTCTCAAGTTCCTGGATCAAAACATCACAGCCCACAAACCGAGATCATTGTATTCGATGGTTTTCCCCAGGCTCAGCAATGACGAGGCAAGTGCAACCTTGTGCAGGGCCAAGAGGAGAGAAAGGAGAAGGCAGAGAAGGGAAGAAGCAGGAAGGAGGTACAGGGCTCAGTGGCCCGGCTGGGCAGGGCTGGGAGGACAAACTTACTTTTGTAGGTTGGCCATCTCCTTCACAGCTTCCACAGCCCCTGGCAGGGGCTCAAGTTCAAAAAAGAAATTCTTTGACTCCCAAATGCTGATGGCCTTCTCCTGAGAAGTTGAGAAAAGCAAGTTACTTCTAGGGTCCTCAGCACCTTACTGCCCTCATCTTGGGGAGTATATCCAGGCTATAGAGGAAGTGGTTCTGCATTCCTCATTCCCCCAAACACACACCCAAGGACGTATTTCCTGGGGGAAGTGCAGAAAGTATGTGGGCTTTGAACCCCTTTCCAGAAAGGACCTGACTTCGTCGGGATCCAGCAGAGACTAGCTAAGGTGTCAGGCCCATGGACTCCTACACCTGCCAGAGCTCTCTGGGACCTGAGGCCAATCGTCAGGAACTGCGTGCTTGCTAGGCTGGATTCGAGTGGCCAAAAGAACTGTGGAAACTGAGGCTGGACCAGCTCTTACCATGGCAGTAGAGTCCTTAAACTTGAGAACTGGAGGGACTCAGAGATCTTTAAGGGTACTGCTGTGCCATGAGGGATAAGCGGGAGGGGAAGACAGGGTAAAAGGACAATTCAGGGAGCTCTAGGATCCTCCCCACATTAACCAGAAGAGCTCTGCTTTCTTCTGTTCTACCTGTTGAGGTCCCTGTAAGTTCCTTAAAAAAAAAAAAAAAAGGATTTCGCTGCTTTTAGAGTTGCAAAGCAAAAATGCAGATCCTCATTTTACATGTGAGAAAACTGAGGCTCAGAATGGGGAAGAGATCCACCTGATGTCACATAGCAAAACAGCAGCTGAGCTGGGAGGAGAACCCCCAACACCAACCCTCTCCTCCCCACTCCGCAACCCCCGCTGCCTTTCTCCTTCCCCTGTTCTGCTGCAGGGCCAGAATGCAGCACCTTTTCTAGGGTCAGGCAAGGGGAAAGTGACAACCAGAGGGGAGACACATTTCTGCCTAGGAGAAGTAGAAGCCTAAATTCCATGTGTGCAGTGCAGGCAGTGGCGCTGCCAGCCATTCGGCATGCTATAGAAAGACAGTCACCCTGTCACATGGATGGCCAGAGGACACTCTGACAGCACACCAGCAACTCTCAGGAACCACAGGGACCAGGCAAATGCGTGCTTATTACTGAAACACATTTAATCCTCACATCCCACATGGGGTACTGTGAAGATCAAAGGGAATACAGATAGAGCAGAATTTTGAAAAGTAGAAATGCCTACATACACATAAGGAGCCACGTGTGGGGGAGGTTTGTTTTAACCACTTGGTTAAACAAGTGGTTTAACCAAGGGACCAGCTTGGCCAAGGGATGTCCGCAGCAGCAAGCCGTGCCTGGGGAAGGGAAGTAGGGGAAGCCAGCAGATCACTCCCAGGGCACCCTCCTTACTTTGCCTTGTGCTTGGAAACCAGTAACCCTGCACATACAGAGCCTACATATTTGCACAAAGAACTGGAAAAGCTGCTGCACTTTTCAGAATTGGGGGTGGGCTTGGTTTCCACGTTAATACACTCCTGGGTGGGTATATGGTGTCCAGACTCCCGATGCCGAGCACTGTCTATAAATGAACACTCGCGGCACACTGGAGCCTATTCCTGAGGCTGCAGAAAGCACTAGGGCATTTTCTCCGGTTTAAAGTTTATCATTAGGCATTGGCCCTGGAAGAGCTCAGCACACTGGGCTCTGTGAAAGTCACCTTCTGAAGTGCCTGGTGTTGATGGAGACAAATGGTACTTGGTTTCCTTTTGTTATTAACACGTGTCCCTCAACAAACCACATTACTGATGAAGTATCTTTCCGAAGTCAGAAGAAATGTCACTTGTTAGAGACAGCAGGTGAGAAAACAGGACTTTGGAGTGGGGAGCACTAACTGTGCTTGGGAGGCAGACAGACTTGGGTTTGAGTCCTGACTGAACCCCTGAGCAGCATGTGACTTGGGGCAAGTTTCCTCATCTGGAAAACAGAGATAATAATATCTACCTAACAAAAAAGAGGATGCAGTGAACTTGTGGCTAAAAAACGGGCTCTTGTAACTTCCTTCTCCTCTTTATCAAACCCTCTGGCAGCAACCCTAGGTGACCAATCAAGGGATGCCAGAAAACAGCCTCTTTAATTTTGTGCATACCAAAATCCCCTGTTCCTTTTGCAAAATACTTCAAATTTACCAACCAAGATCTGTGTGTAAACGTCCCTCCTTGGATCTTTCCCCTCTATCCATCCTGGACAGAACACCTCGGGAGTCGGATGGTAGGGGTTGAGCTCAGGTGTTCAGGAAGGCCAGCTCTGCAAGGGGATAAGACATGAGGTGGATCCCACCTCACCTGGACCAGACTCACTGTGTGACCCCCAGAAAGTCACACAACCTCTCTGGGCCTCAAATACCCCTGGAAGCTATGCTTTCATGGACAACAGCAAAAAAGATGGGTAAAGACACCCATCAAAGCCCTGGGGACAAAGAAGTGGGAATGTGATTGCGGTCGGGGTGAAAGAGGACAACTTATAACGTTTATTTTTCTAAAAATTTAACAAACGACTTGAGGCCAAATATGCCACAAATTTTAAAGTCATCTTTAGATGGAGAGTTAGGTATATTAACACTTTGTACTCTCCTGCATTTTCAGAAGCTCTGGATGGCAGCCAATAGATCTTGAGAGCGGGGCCGCGTCTTCCCGGCGCGCTGTGGCCCCGGTACCCCCGCCCCAGACCCTATTCTACCAGAGGGCCACCCCGAGGCTGGGGCGCTGACCGTCCAAGGTCACCCGCGCAGGGGCGGGGTCTGAGGCTCGGGGCGAGAAGGGGGCCCGGCGTGGGGCGGGGCGGGGACGCTCACGCTCAGCCCTGGCCGCAGGCGGCCGTACTGCTCCGACACCCAGAAGCCGCGCCGGTCCTCCAGCGCGATGAACGGCTGGTCGGGGAAGCGCGCGCGGAACTTCCTGAGGAATCCGCCCTCGAAGTCGGCCAGCACGCCGTCCATGTCCACCAGCACCCGCAGGGCGCGGCCTCCCGCCAGGCCCTGCCCGCCCGCCGCCCCGCGCCGCCCCGCGGGAACCGCCGCGCTGCAGAGCCGCCGCGCACACCAGCCGCCCGGCTGGATCATGGCCCAGCACGCTGGCCCGTAGGGGGCGCGGGGACCTGGGTCGCGCCGTGCTGCCGGGGCCGGCCGGACATGCCAGACGCGGAGAAGACCCCAACGCTGGGCGCGCGCAGGGCGCGGGGCGGGGAGCGCGGGGCGCGGGCGCGCAGGTACCAGCCCCAGAGCGAGGCCGCGGCGCGCGCGGTCCTTAAAGGAATACGCGCCGGCGGAGGCGGAGCCCCGGGGCGGGGCTTCGAGGACGGACAGCGGTGGGCGCAGGGCGCCTCTAGAAGGTCCGCGCTCTCGCGCTGTCCATTTGCGTCTTCTCAGTGGACCCTGGGCCCGGGCTGCCTCCTCCCACTGCACAGACTACCGTGGAGGAGCAGTGCAAACCGAGAAGCAGGCCTGTGTCGTTAGACATTTTTGAGCCCTTACTGTGTCGAGTGTGAACCAAATAGACAAAGTTCCTGCCGTCCTGGAACTTAGGTTTTAGAAGGGGAGCCAGACAACAGGATGGAGGAACCAAAACGCTGCACTCTGAAAGCCTCTGTGCTTTATTTACAGCAAGTGTCCGCGGAGAGATTGATAGAACCAATATCGTGCTAACATATACAGCCTTAGTAAAACTGATGATACTCAAGTAAATACATGAATAAATATTATGTACCCCTGTATAGTCTTTTTTTTTTTTTTTTTTGGAGACAAGGTGTTGCTCTGTACGCCAGGGGTGGATGCAGTCTGGCGTGATCTTGATCACTGCAGCCTTGGCCTGGTTTCTGGGCCCCGCAAAGGATGCTGCCTGCTTGCCGGCCTCCTGAGTAGCTGGGACCCACAGGGCTGCCACCACCACCCCTGAGCCCCTGTTTTTTTTTTTGTTTTTGTTTGTTTTAGTTTGAGCAGAGTCTCAGTTTCTGTCCTCCCCAAGCCTGATGCAGTGGCACAATCCTCGGCTCACTGCAAGCCCACCTTCCCGGGTTCACCGCCGTCTCCCTGCCTCCAGGCCTCCCGGAGTAGCTGGACTACAGGCGGCGACGCGCCGACGCCACGCGCTTTTTTTTTTTTTTTTTTTTGTATTTTTAGTAGAGACAGGGTTTCACCATGTTAGCCAGGATGGTCTCGAACTCCTGACCTCGTGATCCGCCCGCCTCGGCCTCCCAAAGTGCTGGAATTACAGACGTGAGCCACTGCGCCCGGCTTTTTTTTTATTTTTAGACAGAAGTCTTCCTATGTTGGGTCAAACGATCTTCCCACCTCAGCCTCCCAAAGTGCTGGGAAAACAGAAGTGAGCTACCACGCCCAGCCCACTTTTTTTCTTTCCAAGAAAAAAACAAAACAAAGCAAAAACCACATGGCGATGGGATGGTGGAGAGAGGTGGAGGGATTAGCAGGGGTGGGCAAGGAGGGCCTCTCCTAGGAAGTGATGATGGAACAGAGACATGAGGAGGAGAAAGAGCAGACAAGAACCAAAGAGACAAGAGGCCCCATCCACAAGGGCAGCAAACTCAAAGGCCTGAGGGCTCAGGAGGGAGAGAAGGCCAAAAAGAGCATAATTTTCTTTTCAACTTTTATTTTAAGTACAGGATACACGTGCAGATTTGTTATATAGATAAATTGACTGTCTTTGGGGTTTAGTGTACTGATTATTTCATTACCCAGGTAATAAGCATAGTTCCTGGTAGGTAGTTTTTCCATCCTCACCCTCCTCCCACTCTCCATCCTCAAGTAGGTCCCTGTGTCTGTTGTCCCTATCATTACGTCCATGTGTACTCAATGTTTAGTTCTCACTTTTAAGTGAGAACATGAGGTATTTAATTTTCTGTTCCTGTGTTTGCTTAGGATAATCGTCTCCAGCTCCATCCATGTGGTTGCAAAAGACATGATCGTATTCTTTTTTATGACTGTGTAGTAGTCTATGGTGTATATGTACCACATTCTTTTTTTTTTTTTTTTCTTGATATGGAGTCTTGCTCTTGTTGCCCAGGCTCGAGTGCAGTGGCAGGATCTCGGCTCACTACAAATTCCACCTCCCAGGTTCAAGCGATTCCCCTGCCTCAGGCTCTGAAGTAGCTGGGATTACAGGCGCCCACCACCACACGCAGCTAATTTTTTGCATTTTTAGTAGAGACAGGGTTGCACTATATTGGCCAGGCTGGTCTTGAACTCCTGACCTCATGATCTGCCTGCCTCGGCCGCCCGAAGTGCCGGGGTTACAAGTGTGAGCCACTGCACCCGGCCGATTTTGTATTTTTAGTAGAGACAGAGTTTTACCATGTTGGCCAGGCTGGCCTCGAACTCCTGACCTCAGGTATTCCGCCCCCCTCGGCCTCCCAAAGAGCTGGGATTAAAGGCGTGAGCCACTGCACCCAGCCTGTGTTACAACTGTTTTAGCCCCACCATTTGGCAGGTCCCGCATTCTTGTCCTGCATCCAGGAAGAATAAGGTAGGCAGACAAGTGGAGATTGAGCAAGAGGAAGAGGAGCTTTATTAAGCAACAGAATTGTTCAGAAGAGACCTGCAGTGGGCAGCTCCTCTCCATAGCCAGGGTTTCCCCACAAGTGTTCAGCTTTCTGCAGAGAGGATAGCTCCTCTCTGGCAGGCAGGTCATCCCAACAAATGTCCAGCTCTCAGCAGAAGGGGTACTTCCTCTCTGCAGGTGGTTTTCTCCCCATCTCCCCTCCTCTCTTTAAGTCTGGCTGAGTCCAGGGTTTTTTATGGACCTCAGAGGGGAAGAAGTAAGTGCTGATTGGTCCATGGGCGGCCATAGGTGGCCATAAGCAGGCCTGGGGAAAAGCATCACAAGTTCCCCCCTCTGGTACGGGGACTGGTGGCCTGGCCCCCAGGCTTCAGGGCCTTCCAGGATTAAAGATGGGGCTTCACCAGCGACCCGCCCCCTTCCACCGAGGAGCTGTCTGCATCCTGCCGCTGTTCATGGTGCCCAGGCTGTTCATGCCAAGGGGTACCTGCAGGCCAGCACCAGGCTGTCCTCATACCCACCTCGGCCTCTCTCCGGTGCTTGTTGGCGCCCAAGTCCGGAGGGGACCAAGGAGTCAGGGGGCTGGCGTGTCAGTGGTGCCCCGAGCGTGTGCACACCCGCCCAGGCTGTGACAGCGCCCAGGCTCAGCCCGACTTTGCTCCGAGATTGGAGCAGGCACCAACAGCAGGGAGAAGCCACGCAGCAGGAGCAGGCACTTCCGAGCCTGCGAGGGGCAGTGGAGCCTTCCCAGGTTCCCAAGAGCACAGAGATGCCGGGCCAGAGCCGCAGCAGGGTGACTGCAGCTGCACCTGGGGAACTCCCGCCCCGCCAGCTTAGAAGGGGCGGGGCTCCTGCTGTGCCTTCTATATTGAGTTGCCTTTGCAGTTTTTTAAAAACTCCATCCATCAGACCGCGCACGGTGGCTCACCCCTGTAATCCCAGGATTTTGGGAGGCCGAGGCGGGCGGATCACCTGAGGTCGGGAGTTCGAGACCAGCCTGACCCACATGGAGAAACCCTGTCTCTACTAAAAATACAAAATTAGCCGAGCATGGTGGCGCATGCCTGTAATCCCAACTACTCCGGAGACTGAGGCAGGAGAATCGCTTGAACCCGGGAGGCGGAGGTTGCAGTGAGCCAAGATGACGCCATTGCACTCCAGCCTGGGAAACAAGAGTGAAACTCCGTCTCAAAACAAACAAACAAACAAACAAAAAAACAGAAAAAAAAAAAACTCCATCATGTTTCTGAGAATCTATTTCTAGACTCTCCTATTCTGTTCCATTGATCTATATATTTCTCCCTTTGCTATTAGCAAACTGTCTTGATTTCTTTATTTTCATAGTAAGTTTTTTTTTTTTTTTTTTTTTTGAGACGCAGTCTCGTTCTGTCGCCCAGGCTGGAGTGCGGTGGCGCGATCTCTGCTCACTGCAAGCTCCGCCTTCCGGGTTCACGCCATTCTCCTGCCTCAGCCTCCCGAGTAGCTGGGACTACAGACGCCCGCCACCACGCCTGGATAATTTTTTGTATTTTTAGTAGAGACGGGGTTTCACTGTGGTCTCGATTTCCTGACCTCGTGATCCGCCCGCCTCGGCCTCCCAAAGTGCTGGGATTACAGGCGTAAGCCACCACGCCCGGCCTCAAAATTGTTTTAACTATTCTAGCTTAATTGACTTTCCATATAAATTTTAGAATGAGCTATCTATATCTACACACACACACACACACACACACACACACACTTCCTTGGTTTGGTTGGAAGTGTGCTAAATCTGTAGATCAATTTGGAGTGACTTGACTTCTTAATTAGGTTGACTATTCCAATCCATGAACACAGTATATCCCTCTTAAGTTTTCTTTGGCTTCTTACACCAATGTTTTGTAGTTTTCAGTATACAGATCCTGCATGTGTTTTGTTGATTTATACCTAAATATTTCACTTTTTGTTTTTTTGTTTTTTTGGTTTTTGAGACGGAGTTTTGCTCTCGTTGCCCAGACTTGAGTGAGTGCAATGGCACAATCTCAACTGACCGCAACCTCCCCATCCCAGGTTAAAACGATTCTCCTGCCTCAGCCTCCTGAGTAGCTGGGATTACAGGCATGCACCACCACGCCCGGCTAATGTTATATTTTCTTTAGCAGAAACGGGGTTTCTCCATGTTGGTCAGGCTGGTCTCGAACTCCCAACTTCAGGTGATCTGCCGATCTTGGCCTCCCAAAGTGCTGGGATTATAGGCGTGAGCCACTGCACCCGGGCAGTATTTTTTAAATTTAAATTATTTTGGTTGGGAAAACTAAGACACATCATAATCAAATTGCTCAAAGCCAGAAATACACAGAATCTTAAAAGCATCCAGAAAAATCAAGAAACATTATACACAAAGGAACAAAAAAAGAAAAGGATGGGCCGGGCGGAGCTTGCAGTGAGCCAAGATCGCACCACTGCACTCTCAGCCTGGGCGACAGAGCAAGACTCCATCTCAAAAAAAAAAAAGAAAGAAAGAAAAAAAGAAAAGAAAAGGATGACAGCAGACTTTTTGTCAGAAACAATGCAAATTACATTAAAAATGAGCAACAAGGCTGGGCACAGTGGCTCATGCCCGTAATCCCAGCACTTTGGGAGGCCGAGGCAGGTGGATCACCTGAGGTCAGGAATTCAAGACCAGCCTGGCCAAGATGGTGAAACCCCATTTCTACAAAAAAATACAAAAATTAGTCAGGCATGGTGTTACACACCTGTAATCCC